GAACCAATGAGATTCACTGTGACTGGTTTGTGATTTCTCTACGAACAGACCTATTGTTGTATCTAAGAATTTCGGTGAAAATATTTTTCTACAGCCGTGGGGAAAAATAAATTTTCCGCACCAATACTAGTGCGGAAAATTAGTTTTTTCGCACTAGTGCGGAAACATTTTTCCGCATGGCTATCAAAAAAAAAAAAAAAATTATAAATTACTACAATTTATGTAGGTATACTTATTTCCGCATGTCTGTAGAAAAACTATTGTACCTAACATTTGCGGAAAATGTTTTTCTGCGAGGCGTCATTCGGCGAACGGCAGACTCGTGCGGAAAAATTTATTCTGTAGGCACTTGTAGGTAAATCTGATACAAGGTGAATCTGCATTCATCCACAAACATCTCTATCGTTCCAGCTACCCCCCAGTATCTATGAATATTATCCCAGTTTATTCGTGCTCTCCGATGGAATGCTTTTAATAATGGACATGCTGCTCGCCTTCTGGCTCTTGAATTTCTCTCATGGAGTCGATTTTGAGGTCAATTCCTACCGCGATCCTTATTTGCGAAGAATAAAGAGTTCTGTTTCGACGCACTGGTAAAAGGATTCTGTTGTCATCCCGAGCCGAAGTAATTCTTGGTTTACCTCCTACAATGTCTATAAGCAGCGGTGCCAATGTTAAACCGCCATTTTCTTGGCCATAAAATTGCGCGAATCTGGCCTAATTTAAACGATCTCGCGCGGACCTCGTATCTTTTATCATAACCGAGATCCCTCTGGTTAGAAAAATAGACACACTGTATATTTTTGTACGACCCTGTATAATGTATTCTAAAGTGTGTTTTCACATGCGCCATAATTGTAATGTTTGTTTCGAAAGGAAATAATGACGTTAAAAGCTATATTTTGCATTAAATCCCATAACTCATGATAAAATCGTAGTGGGCTGCGATATTCAAAAAATCTCAAAAACGTCCCGAGGTACTAAGGTACTCTTCTAAACTGAATACCAAAAATCTTCTCAACTCTCCCTCCACAAAAATGGAGTGAACCCAAACTTTCGCAAAAAAATCGCCAACCTATATGCTTCACCCTGTATCTTTTAGCAGGTGGCCGGAAATCTGTTAGCAACTAGAAATTAAATAGCAATTGGAGCATCCTTTCAGAGAAAGAAAATTTGAACAATTTAGGCCTGCTAAATTTTGAGTAATAGTCTTACAAAATGTGACCAAAAATTGGGGTGTTCGAGTTCGATTGATGCATGCATGATCGGTATGCAAATGTCTTCAACTACCTATAGTAGAAGATCCGAATAGGAAAGGATCTGCACCCATCTGTTTATTGGGTGAAAATTATTTTCTATCAAAGTTAGTATGTTAAAAAATATATCAGGTGTGGGTTGGTTAAAAAATTCCTGGCCAGACTATTATTAATAAATAATTCAAAAATTATAATTGTCATTGTCAGGTGGCATTGCACTCATTTGTTTAACGAACAAATTTCATACTAATCGAAAGTATAGGGCCTAAAGAATATAGAAACGTTGGGGTGTCTATTTTTTTCCTGGCATAACTATTGGGTTGACAGGTTTGAACAGGTGAGTCGATACTAGTTATTTATGATATAAGTGTTAAAAGTACATTTTTAAGGCACGCATGTGAAAGTTTGCAGAATGAGCGAAGCGAATTCTGCAATTCACATAAGTGCCTTAAAAATACTTTTAACACAAATATCATACAATATTTTTTCTACAAACGGCAATAAAAAGCAATAACCAGTAACACATTGGATTTTTAAATGAATAATAAATTGGAAGAATCTTTCCTACATGAAATTATTGAATTTGACATTTGTCAAAAAGTTCAAACAACCAGCACCTTGTTTTACAGGTAATGAAATGTCTTGTCAGTTTCTTGAAAGACTGTCGTGGTTAGTAATGCTTTTTGCTTAAAATGCAACAAAATACAGAAGAAAAAGAGGGTTGCATCGATCCCTTGAAAAATATAGATGAGGCGGCCAATCGGGCTACCTCAGTTGTTCAAATTTCACCATTCATATCAATGTAAATAACTAAAAATACAAACTTTTTTTGACGTTCGCTCTCAAAATTTGATGTTTCATTTTTAACACTAGTGCTATAAAGACTTTATGGCACTAGTGCGATAAAGTAACATTTTTAATGCTTCGGGGGGGTGTTAAAAATTGCATTTTTAACACGTTTGTAGAAAATAGTTATTTATGATATAAGTGTTAAAAGTACATTTTTAAGGCACGCATGTGAAAGTACATAAGTACCTTAAAAATACTTTTAACACAAATATCATACAATATTTTTTCTACAAACGGCAATAACAAGCAATAACCAGTGACAAATTGGATTTTTAAATAAATAATAAATTGGAAGCATCTTTCCTACATAAAATTATTGAAGTTGATATTTGTCAAAAAATTCAAACAACCAGCACCTTGTTTTACAGGTAATGAAATGTCTCGTCAGTTTCTTGAAAGTCTGTCGTATAGTCTATCGTGGTCAGTGAGCTTATTGCTAAAAATGCAACAAAATACACAAGAAAAAGAGGGTTGCATCAATCCCTTGAAAAATATAGAGGAGGCTGCCGAAGGAGCTTCCTCAGTTGTTCAAATTTTACCATTAATATTAATGTAAATAATTAAAAATACAAACTTTTTTTGACGTTTGCTTTCAAATTTTGATGTTTCATTTTTAACACTAGTGCCTTAAAGACTTTTAACACTAGTGCGATAAAGTAACATTTTTAATGCTTCGAGGGGGTGTTAAAAATTGCATTTTTAACACGTTTGTAGAAAAATTTATTTAAAAAAAATACCCCTCGGAAAAGCTAAGTAAACTTTTACAATTCTTGAGAAAGCTTAGTTATATTTTGTTATACTTCTAGAGACTTGCACTTCAAGGTGCGTAACTAACTAGGCAGGTACCTACTTTTATCCAGTATCATGTCAAGCACGATTGATGAAATTTATATTAAATATAATCTAAAAAATTGTTAATGTATCCACAAAAGTGGGGAGAAGAAAATATAGGAAACAAATTTTGTATTTATTTTTTCACAAGTTCCTTTCAGATAGGTGATAATAACAAGCACCAACTGTAGTATAACATACTCGGGTTCGTTCAGTAAGATTGAACGATGAGAATTTCTATTACCTTTTAAACAACAAATCTTCTGAAAAATAAAATGAGAAACAAATAGGACCTACGTTGTGGAAACTTACTCAATTTCACTTACTGGACATGCTCCCGACATAGCAATTATTTGGGAAATTTAAGGGGAGTTGTGATATGTAAAAGAAACGGAAAATTTGTGAAACGTCTACTTTATTATTAAAGTTAATCGTACCGTTCTCATCCTGGAACTAACGAGGCGAAAGAGCACGGCAGAGAAACCCTCGATCTACATTCCTCAAAAATCGAAACATACTGTGTCATTTCAATAATAATTGTGAGTCAATAATTCAATAATTTAAGTCAATAAAAGTTTAAATTAGGTACCATCCTTTGTCTTTGCGCTAAAATTTCAATTACACACACTTCATTCAATCAACACTACCTATATTCAATACTGAAGAGTTTTTTGTTAGTTAGCCCATCTGTGGCAGGTACTGAGGTCCCTGGTTACGTAAACTCACAGCTATAGTTGTTTTTGAACCAATATCTCTAGATTGATTATTTCAATTTGTTAGGATATGCTCTCGTCAGGGTAGGAAAATGTTAGTAAATTTAACTAGGCCCTAATACACGCTCTGCATACACAAAATTCAAATCTCAGCACAAAAAGACAGCACATAATTTCTTAGGTTTTAATTTACTTCTTTATCGGTGTTTTTTACAGCATGAAACGATTTTTGTTAAATACCTGAACAATGCACATGTTATAAAAAAATTGTTATAAACAAAACAAAAAAAACATATAAATGAAAAAAATTATACTTGTATAAATAATTGAACTCTCAAAAACAAAATAACAATTATTCAACTGACCTGGTGATCGCTCCTTGACACACACACTAATAACATATTAGATGGAACAATCAATTTAATGCAAAATAAAATTGAAAATTGAATAATGAATCATTACAGACGCGCGACACGCGTCCAAGGGACTAGTCTTAGCTTGTTCTCTAGTCTAATGCCTAATCGCCTCTTCTCTACCTCCCGTTCGGTTCGGTACTCTCATTCTTTCCTAAATCAAAACTTCGTGGCGCAGTACATGGCTGCAATATTTACTTTTATTCAGTAAACGTTTTTTTAAAAAGTTAAGATTTGAAGAAATAATATTTTAAATAGGAGGTTTCCCTCACAACTTAATAATCATTCGTTTAATTAACCCTAAACCTCGCCCAGAACTAAACATAAAATAAATCACAAAATTACTTTGGAAAGAAAGTAACAAGTTCCTTTCAAATAATAATAACAAGTACCAACTTAACTATAACCTATACCTAATAATAATCATACATTAAAGGATTTTTTAGCGACTAACCGTTTTATAAGCGGTGACAGTTAATGCATAGCGGTTACAAACGGTTAGGCGCTTAAAAATCCTGTTTATTAACCCAAAACTTAACATTATAAATCACAAAATTACTTTGGTAACTAAATAAATAAATTGCAATAACAAGGAACAGTCTGATAAGCAATTAAGTTGTTTCATTTGTCCTGGACCCGTATTCTCGTTCCCGAAAACGCTCACCGCTTTTTAGTCGCTCGGCACTTTCAATGTAAATTTACATTAGAAGTGCCGAGTGACTGAAAAGCGGTGAGCGTTTTCGAGGACCAGAATACCGGCCTGGTCTCAATTAATCCTGGTCCTCTCTTGGCATCGCTGAATCAACCAACCTTTTTATGTTTAGACTAATTTCATTGAGGGCATTACCAATCATTCCTATATTTTTTTCAATGTTCTGCAATATGTCTTGATTTTCGCCATTCATTTTATTAAGGCTTACAAATCTTTTCGTATTTTCTGTGGTGGTTTTAATTTTTTTTTTTTATGGTGGAATTCGAGGTGTAATTGCTTCTTTCTCCCTTTGTCGTTTCAGTGGCATTAAAGGTGGTAGAGAGTGTCCAATTTCAAAATTTGTGGTTGGTATTGCTGATGGAGCTTGACTCGAACTACCAATTTCTGAATTATTGGTACATGTGGTCTGTATTTTGGATGTTGACGGCTATAGAATAAAATATAATTAATCCAATGTGCTCACTGTATGTGTGTTCCCTAGTTCATATCCAAAATAGGTAGATGAAATTGAAATATATATTTGATCTCATGAAGCTGTCACTTTTTATTGATAAGTAGACCTTGGAAAATTTTTAAATTACTTTTCTGGAATTGTATATTTGCATTTCAAAGCACAACTTCACATCCATATTATCCAATTTTTCAAATGCAATTGTGGTGTGTATGTATGACACAAATAAACAGAAGTGGTGCTTACAACTCCCAGTTCTTTATTCCTGTCCCCCATAATGGCCAGCCAAGAACTGCCATCAGTCGTTCCTCTTAGTTATGTAGTGGTGGAGCTTTGCAAGGACCACCACCAGTCTTTTGTTGTTCCAATTTAATGGAACAGGCCTTGCCTTTGTTTTTGTTTTTGATTTCCACCTTCCTATAGCCTGAAAAGTTAAATAAATATTATTTATTATTCTGATTAGCCTATATGAATAAAGGTAGTACCATTTGCCACTTCTCCATAGTTCTTGCCCCCAATCGCATTGAATTTAAATGGTCTGTTAACCCTTGCCATTTTTGTTTGATATCAGTAGGTACTATCCCCATCAACGTTTCGAAATTTATTTTTCAGTAATATGGGGTATTTTTCAAAATATTGCATACAACAAATTTCTATTGTTCAATTGTAGTTTTGAACTATCTCTCTTTCAAAATATCTAAAATATCGAGAGTTAATGATGGTTTGAAATAAATAAAAAGTAAAATCATATCTTACCCATTTTAATATAATTTTTGCTCCTAAAATTTCGAATATATGTCACTTTTATCAATCACGTACGAAAAAACACAAATTAGGAAAAATCGATTCACATCACAATTCACTTTCAGCACGTGTGTTGAAAATGAAAAGAAATGAAATTAGAGAAAATTGGCGTAAATCGGTTTCTGGTCGTAGAAAAAATGATGTACATCACTTGTGCGATAGCGTCTTTCATACACTCGTAATGTAATATACTATTGCGTAACTGGGAAAATTTTCCTAGTAAAAGTCGTATTTTGTCATGGATGGATGGGGTAAAAATATATTTTATCAAAAAGCCCTTTCAGGTTATTGCTTCTAGTCAAAGTGGTCGTTTAAAGAGAAGGAGAAAATTACCAAATCTATTGAACAAATTTTAAATTGGGGTGCCATCGTGTAACTCCTTTTGTTAATAAATTAACAAGAGGCCCATAAGATGCTCAGTTTTATCAGCAAATAATTATTAGGGTTGTGTCTATAGTTTAATAAGTACAGAATGGCAAAGGCGCCACTGAATTAAAAAAAAAATAATAATTTAATTACATAAAATATTGAAGGGTGGAAATTCAGAAACACATCTAAAAAAAAAATATCAGCAAACGGTAATTAATAATCCTGAAAAGGAAATAAACAAGGCATATATCTCAAACAAATCTTGACAAAGGTAAACCAATAAAACAATTAAGTAAGTTTCAAATTAAGTTAGTTAGAGTATACACAGTGAGAATAAAAATCAAGAATTAAATAATTTAACTTTTTTTACTTACTCAATATTTTTAAATTTAGAGCATGTTGTCCAACCTTGACTTCTATTCAGATTACTTATTGATTATCATTGAAAAAATACGAGAACATTCTTTAAATATGGCGGTACTAAAAGTTGTAGCATGTGAAATGCTACAGTTAGTTGCCACGCTTTTTCGCTGATTAAGAAAAGTTCATAAAAAAAAATAAATTTAGAAAAATAAATTTAAAAAAAATTAAAGTCGAGAATAAAAAAAAATTAAAAAAAAAGTAAAATAAAAATAATGAAAATAAAAATAAAAATAATTGAATGAAGAACTTGAGATTGTAAGACTGAAGGTCGAAGTGCGTGCAAATTAAGCCCTAGCTCAGAACTAAATATTTCGGAGAGTAGGGGTGGGTTTTAGTTTTGGGCGCCACCGACTCTGAACAGATGAGTCGGACTCTCCAGGATGGTATCTGGCTTCAGGTCCTTACAATCCAAATAATAATTAATAAAAATATTAGCAAAACCAGGCTCTGTGCATAAAACCAAATAAAAGTCAAGAAATCAAGTGCTACAGTTATTTATTCACCAAATGGCCGCAGACCACAATGAACAGTAATTTGAATTTAAGAAAAAAAAAAAAAAATTAATAATAATCAAGTAAATTAGCAATAGACAGCCTAAGCCTTGACGTCACAAAAGTGGGCGGAGCCTATACTGGGTCCAAACAATTTCGTATTTAATGGTAAATCCGCATAACCATTCTTTCAGTTCTTGTTTTTGTGGATTATTTCATTAAATAAGACTTTCCAGTTGGATAAATTGTTGACGAAACGTGCTATTTGAGTGATTTTTATTTGTTTTTGCCCAGGTGAGTCAATTTAAGATAACAATTTTGCATTAGAGCTTTTTGAGGTTATGCTTTAAACCGTTTTTGTTGTTTATTTTTGTTATTTACTAATAGTTATGAGTTTTCGAGGATAATTGAGTTAATTTTTGGGGCTTTTAGGACCCAGGACTGCCTTAGAATGGGTATGTGCTTCGTGCCGGACTGTAAACATTACAGTTCAAAGCATGAATGTAGGTTTTTCCGTTTCCCAAAAAACAAGACCGAAAGGAATAGATGGATTTCTCTCATAAGGTAAAATAATGATAACATTATTGTTTTTAAAGATTTATGTTTTAAATTTATTTATTTACAGACGAAAAGATAGAAACCCAGGTGAATCTGCAAAAGTGTGTGATTGTCACTTTCTGAATGGAGAAAAGAAGAATGGGCCAACTTTGTTCAATTTTAACATTCACAAGAGGTTTAACATCGAATCACCAGAAAGAAGGTAAGCATTTTGTTGCAGAAGTACCATCATAGTCTATTTTTTTGAATGCTGGTATAATCAATCATACTCGATCAATTTTAATCCCATCCTTTACAAAGTGAACAAATATTTCTATACCTGCCTGTCGATTGGTTTCAGTATCTTTTACATATAAAATAAAACGCACCCTTGTAGTATTGGAGGCATTCACCCTTTAACTACTTTTTGACCACTCCAGAACAATAGAAATTGGGGCTCACAGGTAGCAAGCACAAGAGAATAAAATTATAAGTGAAGGCATGGGGCAATGGTTTGAATAGGCGAAAAGTAATCAAAAAAGGTTTGAATTTAGAAAAATATAATCACAACAATAGGTTAAATTATGTTAATTAGGAATATACAATGAAACTTCTTTGAATCCCAGCATGCCCATTGATGCATGAAGTAAAAATTTGGTACCTGACCACTTTTTTCTATTTATCTCCATACTTGCAGACTTATTAGCATATTTTAACCTACTACATTTTTGTACATTTTAGGCCTTTTTTGATTATTTGGTACTCACCTGGGACACATTTACTGGGTTATAACATATTTTTAGTTGTGATTTGAAACATTTTTGTTTTATTTCAAAATTTGCAATGGATTTCCATCAAGTAGGTATCAGCTTATACAAAGTTTTGGTTCTATAAGCCCTGAGATTATTACTAATTTCATTAATTTGGTTAGTTAAATTGTGAATGCAGAAGATACCAAGAATAATTTAAAAAATAATATTTGTATTTATTAATCCTTCAAGACACTTCTTCGTAATGGTTTGCTTAAGGCAGAAATTAATTTAATTAGGTAAATAGGTACTTCAAGAAACATTTTGCTCGTATGCCTATGAACCACCTGCAATAAACGATTAAGTGACAATTTGATTATACCAGCTTTCAAAAAACTTTTTTGTTTTATTTTATAGTCTAATCAAGTACTTTTTTTAGGAAGCGAACCGTGAAAAAGGTTGATAATAGTCTCTCAACTGAACCACTACCAGGCCCTTCAACTGAGCCTTTGCCAGGACCTTCAACTGAGCCTTTACCAGAACCATCAAATGAACCTTTACCAGGACCATCAGATAAGCCACTATCAGGACCTTCAACTGAGCCTCTACCAGGTTGTTCATCCGAGCTGATGCCAGTGTTTTCGAAACAGCAACATCAAGTGACTCAAATAAAACTTGATGCTTCACTGTTGAGTCCGTCATCTGCATTCCAAAATGCTGAGAATTACTTTTTAAGGCAACAGGTGGATCAATTGACTCAAAAACTGGAACAGTTAACGACACGGTTTAGCTATGAAATTATCAAAAAAAATGATGCCCATTTGCTAATGTATACTGGAATTCCAACCAATGAGCTGTACATGGTTCTTTTTTAACTTATGGACACCATTAAATTAAAATGCTATGCTGGATGGAATGTTCAGATCATTCCCAAAATTGATCAGCTGCTAATGACCTTGATGAAACTAAGGCTTAATCTTCCACATGAAGATTTAAGTATTAGATTTAGTTGCAGTACAGCTACAGTAACCAACATTGTTATGACATGGATATATGCTCTACATGAAGTCCTATTCAAGAACTTGATGTGCAATATACCATCCAGACAACAGAATCAGGCCTGCGTCCCTATTGCTTTCACAAATTTTCGAAATTGCAGGATAATTTTAGATTGCACCGAAATTTTTTCAGCAATTCCAGCAAACATGGAAAAGCAGAGATTGACGTACAGTTCCTACAAACACCGGAACACTTGGAAATTGTTGGTAGGTGTTGCACCAAATGGTGTTATCACCTTCGTGAGCAAGGCTTTTCCAGGGTCTACATCAGATAAAAAAATTGTTGAGGAGAGTAAAGTTCTGGATCAGATGGTGGCTGGAGATTTAATATTGGCAGATAAAGGTTTCCTTATCAAGGACCTTCTTCCTGCAGGAGTATCATTGAATATCCCTCCATTTTTGACAACACTACAGTTCACGGAATCTCAAGTTTATGAAACACAACAAATTGCGAAGGCTAGGATACATGTAGAACGGGCCATCAGAAGAATAAAATGTTATAACATTCTGCAACAGATTCCATCACATTATATGTCCCAAATTTCAATTATTTTCCAACTCTGTGCAGCCCTCACCAACTTCCAATATCCCCCGATTAAAGAGGTTCAGGAATATTATTGAAGGACGAGTGGGACGATATAATATTATAATTTTTAGTTTTAGTTATGTAGGTATTTTATTACATATGTACTTAATTTGAATTTTTCATTGTGGCAAACATAATTATTTCTTTATTTAACATTCGTTTTGTGAAAAATTCTGCTTAAAATTTTTATTTAAAAAATTTATATTTAGATTTTACTTAGTTTATAAATAACTTGCTCTTATAAAATTTTTGTTTTGAGTAATAATGATACTCCTCTCTTGAAATATTTCCAGTTTCTTTAATTTGATAAAAACCTGTACATCCAACCAACATTTTTCATAAAGTAAACAAATACAAGTAAAATTGTATTTCTTGTCAGTATACTTCAGTATGTATTTACAATCGTCGAATAAAGTATGTGAGTCACAAGTTATGTTCTAGTTTTTTTTTTAACATATAATCAGGGGTCTTCAAAAAAAATTAATCAAAGATTGCTATGGGTTTTT